CTTTGGGGGAGATGTGTCTCCAAGTAACCGTCGGCTCTGGTCGACCCGTTGCTATGCAGGTGAGGCTGACATTGTTGCCTTCGTTGATGGAGATATCAGAAGAAATCTCTACAATTTTGGGAGATACTGTGGAGACAACACAGGTAGAAGGAAAATTAAAATCCTGCTGAAACATTTCTTTGTTGTCTTCAAGTGGTAGTTGGCAGAATAACCCAGGGATGGCAATATTGGGGCTATAGAGTCGAGGACGAGGAATCAGAGGAGTCACCTTACATGTGAAAGAAACGTCTCACCTCGACTTCAGCTTCTATTTCCTCCTATGTACACGCAATGTCAGAGGGTCTGAAAGGGATGGTTCCACTGCAGCCCCACAGGACCTGTTCTAGCCCCCCACCCTCTTCCGGTCTCCACCCTCACCCACACGCTCCGCCCACTCCGGCTCCACACCGCGTCACGGCCGTCTTTATATGATGCACTTCTGATCATATTGCGTCTCTGCCTAAACACCTCCAACAATTCCTACTGCCCACCTGAAAACACTGAAGCCCCTCATCCAAGCAAACCAGGCCCTTCGGAATCAAGCCCGAACCTCTGTTTCCACTGACATTCCTGGCGATTCCACCTCTACTTACCCTGTTGTCATCCCCAACTCATCATGTCCTTCCTGGTCAGCCTGCATTTGGGATCTATATTCTTCCTTCTGTCCTTCCTGGGAAACTCCCAGTCATCCTTTTAGACCCAAATCATATGCCACTTTGTCGCAGCTTTCCCTACCCCTACTCCCTCTGGCCTCCTGCACAACTCAAAGATCCTGCACCCAGATATGTTACACGCACCTGAGGGGGAGTCAATCAGACGTGACAGACTTGGCCTCTTTCTCTCTCTGTGTCTTAGATTAATCCCCCCAAAGGATGAAGAGGTTCATCCCAACTGTAGATCTGGGGACAGAATCCCCCAACTTTGTTTAGTCTTTCGTTTTGCAGCCAGGGTTTCCTTAGGAAGTTAACATTATGTTGTGCACTTTCTCATTTATGTTTTACAGGACAGCATCCCACGGGGATGAGCACAGCCAGCAGTGTACATCTGTCTCATTCTGGGGCTCAGAGGTGGAAGCTCATTGTTGCTGCACATCTAAGCCCAATTCTCCAGTGCCATCTTTACCACTAGCGAATGTGATGCCTGACCATGAAATGACTACTCATTTGTCTTGTCTGCCAAGGGGTTTATAAAGTAAGGGTGTCTTTTATTGGGCAGCCCCCCCCAACTCCCAATTCTTGGCCCTTATCCCACTGTGCTGTAGTTATTTGCGTAGCATCCCTCACCCCCTAGACCATGAGCTTTTTTGATGGCTTGAGCCAGGTCTTACTTACATTTATATCCATAGTATAAAATGCAACACATATTTATAGGATGGAATTATAATGGTTGTTCATGGGAGCCACCTCCCCACCTGGCTACATGTCTGCGACAACCTCAGAACTGGGCCGTTAACACAAGTCATTTCAGTTCTACTCACACTGGTTTTGGCACATTAGCTCTTTACAGGTTAAGGGGCCCCTCTGTCCGGTTCTATTAGGCATCTTCAGGTCAGGTTGCCTCCTTGAATCAGCATGCTTCTGAGCCACCCCCGTGTGCTATTCCAGGACCCATTATCCCCAGGACACAGTGCCATCTGGCCTGCAGGAGACCCCAGGCAAGCTGACCATCGCCCTTATTCCCTGGATGGGACCAAGGTCACGGGGCAACCCTCACAGGAAAATCAGACTGGTTGGAACTTTCCGTGCTGGTCTTTCCTCTCCTGGATCCATTCATCACTCACTCCTGATGGTGTTGGATTTTTTCCTCCAGAAAGGAGCGTGTCGTGCAGATAGCTGCTCTCAGCCTTTGCTCCTTTCCCTCCTTCTCCTGAAAATTGACTTCCCATCTGTTTCCACACTGCGCCCAACCAGGAACGCTCATTAGCAAGAATGAACTGGACTTTGGTTTCTGAGCCCCAAGCCCTTGCTACTGGTTTTGGTCCCTTCGCCTCTTTCTCCAACTGTCTAGACCTACTGGAAGCATTCAACCTCATTCAAGGTTGAGCTGCCACCCCTTCCACGAGGTCTTCCAGGCGACGTCCAAGGGGATGTGGCCTCTCCTGCTTGGAGACTCTGTAGCCTCCTCCACAGCATTAAAATAAACTGGCTTATGTTACCTTGTCTCATCTTTCTCCTTGGCTATAAATTATCATAGTATAAGATATTGGACAAGAGCCTTGCTCATCTTTTTATTTTCTGCTGTCTCCAAAACGGTCCCTTGCATAAAGCAAGCACCAATTAATCATTTTTAGTCTTAAATCCGCGTGGAGCTTCAGGTAGAGAGGCAACTGTGGTGTGACGTTCTGTGTGTGCGAGTGTGTGTATGCCCTTGCACACATACATACCTGCATTCTCATGGATATTTGGCAGGACAGACACAATGGACGGTTGATGTGGCCAGGGCTGGGAAGTGACCGCTGGCTCTAAGACGCGGGACTTCTAGGACATTATATTGTGATTCATGGCTCTATCATTTTAAAAGCTAGATTGAACCTTCCAGGAGAGAAAGATACTTGATGAGTTAATGACTGGACACTTGATTTGCTGACTGCCCGAAGGATCCAAATTTGTAAGCTCTCTAAGTTCTAGAATCATTTAAATTTGATGTATTTTATTCGCAGAGCTTTAACTGGGACTTGCACTTCTTGAACCCCACCTCACCCCCAAGCCATACATTTGCCTGGCCCTGATCCTGCCCACCCTTGGCACTCACACAGCCTTGCCTGTTTCCCAGAGGACAGGCTGCCTGCAGAATGGCTGTGCTGGCCTTGCAGACATCGCTTTGACTCTGCAGGTAAGTAATTTATTGATCTGTAAAGCACTCTGAGATGCTCTGCGAGGGATTATGTCACGAAAATGCCATGCAATAAAATAAAAAAAAAGATGGACTTTGTGAACACAGGGTGATTTAGGGTTTGTAGCTGGAAGTGTGCTCAAAGTACATTTTAAGTGGAAATCAGGCAGGGTAATGAATTACTCTTGCTTTGGAAGGGCTTCCTGGGAGTTCATTTTCCTGGCTTCTTACATGATAGCTAATCTGCTAATCATACACTAGAGAACAATGGACAGTCCCCAAGTAGAAGAGAAGGTAGTCTGGGCCAAGCTGTTGGCACAGTAAGTATATAAAATGAGACCATCACACCTCATGCTTGGAAGAATCATCTAGAATTGTCTCCCTCCACTAACAACTGGAACGTGTCCAACTCACGAAGTCGCAGTTGGTGAAATGCTTGGCCTTTCAATCCTGCCTCAGGGTGTAGCTTGAAGGTGGCAAATTGCCTCGAGATGACTTTGAAAGGTAGACCATTCGTGGCATAGAGCTGAGACGGTTTGACCAGAGGTGCAATCCCAATCACCAGAGCCACACTGGTACAGTGCCAAAGATGCTAGGCGGTTAGAAGTATCATCTTCCAGGTGGCAACTTCTAACATGTTGTCAGTGTTTAAAATGAAAGTGAATTGACAAGGATGCACTATGGTCTTAGCTAATCCATGTTCATCAGAAAATTCTGACCCACTGAGATAGGGCTACTTACATTTTTATATTGTTTCCATGGATACCTCCTGCATCTTATCTCATCTCATCATGCAGGTGGTTGGAAACACACTAGGATTGCTTTGTTTTCATTGATTCACTCACACATTCATTCATTCTTTCATTCATCAATACTCACTGAGCACTTCCTTATACCAGTGTTGTGCTTAGCCCTAAGGGGCAAGACATCTAAAAGACACAGTGTTTACCCTCAAGGAGTCCACGGTCTAGAGATGCAAAGACAGGAGCAGAAGCAAACCCCTTTAGTGCACTGTGACATAGAAGGACAGATAAGGTGTTGAGGAAATGCAGAGGAGAGACACATTAGCCAGCCTGGAGATGCATGTCATGGAAGGCTCCTTGGATATGAGACACCTAAGCTAATCCCCAGAAGACAAGCAAAAATGAATCAGTTCTGAGGAGGAAAGGCATTTTGGGCAAAGCAGGTGATGTTAGAAAAATACTATTAGTAAGACTTTCGGTGGCCAGGCATAATTATTAATGGAAGGATAGCTACTGGAGGAGACATGGCCAAAAGTCACTCAAGCCCTGAGTGGGCACCTACTATATACACACTGTGGCTTAGGTATGTCCATGACGTGCAGCAATGCACACATTTTCTTGGCCCTCCATGAACTTACAGTCTGTTTGGGGAAACAGTGCATATATACGTCCCACCGCGTCACAGGGTTGTGTGGGATTGGATGCTAAAAGGTTGGTACAGACATTGCACTCTGTGAGTTAGTAAGAGTGTGGGTGTCGGCACAGCTTCTCCTGGGCTACAGAGTCTAGTTCGGGTACCAACAAAAGAGAAACGGTCATGTCTGCAGAGCAAGTGAAGCTGCTTCAAGTGGGACAGAAGTGCATGGGCACGGCTGGGAAGGCAGAAATCCAGGATGCGTGTGAGGATACAAAGTCTACTCAGAAGCAGAGGTGATGGAGAGCAGTGGTCCAGATCCCGGCTCTACTACGTTCAAGTTGTGCGGCCTTGGCCCAGTCACCTCACCTCTCTGTGCCTCACGTCCTCAGGTCGTGAAGCCAATTGCACGTATCTCACCGGATCCCTCTGAGGATTTAGGGGTAAGTTTATGAAATGCACTTACAGAGGCTCTAAGCGATGCGAAGTATGCAATAAGTGAGTTTTCGTATATTGTGTGCTTGGCAGACACGTATGTCACGTCAACACAGAATGGAAGGTTGATAAATTCTAACCGACTCGAGGAAGAATGGGATACAAGGTCGATGAGGTAAACTAGAGCCGGATTACAGACCAGCCTGAATGGCCAGGTCCTTCCTGGGTTTTAACTCTATCCTATAGGCAATGGCAAGCATTTGAAATTGTTTAAAAAAGGAAATACTCTACATAAATATATAGTGAATATACAAATATATTAATACACTTTAAGCAAAATAAGCTTGTAACAAGGTGTCAGAGGGACTGGGTAGACAGACACTGGATTTCGGAGAGTGATGTTCAAAAACTGTGGGCTCTGTAAGGGCGGAAAGAAAACGGTGGGTTTGAGAGCAAAGCCAAGGACAAGCTGCGGGTGCCTGATGGTGCCTGGATGGGGGATTCAGGAACACGGAGTCAAATGAAGGCCATTTTGTTCAACAGCAGCTGGATGGCTGAGCTGGCAGATCCCTTATGTTATATGAATAACGTCTTCGGGGGAGAACATTAGTGTGATTCTGTTTTAGACAAGCTGATGAGATGACAAGGGGCCAGCAGGGTGGCAGAACTATTCTGTCAGCAGCTGGGATCACACAGCCAAAGGTCTGGGGTGAGTCTGAGACCTGCTAAGACTCCAAGATTCCTTAAAAAAGGCCATCAGCTTATTTCCACATTGATGGATGTGATGTCTCTGCTGACTTTTGAGGTCTGAATCTAGAAAGATCAAGAAGTGGTTAGATTATGTTTGGAAAAAGGCAGAGACCCCCTGAGCCATGCTTTTTGGATAGAGTTCCACATTTAATTTATTATGTTAAGGTTTAATCTGGCTCTTATTGAATTTTAATTCAAATGTGTAAATAATTAAATAACATAATTATTAAAACAGTATTCTAGGGAACTTCCTCACTCTTCGTGTAGCCTCCACTGCCCAGGTGTTAAATTCTATAATTATGTCATTAATATATAGCAATTTTGCTGTTTTTAGCACACAGTAGATATCCTATTAAATCCAAATTGAGATGTTTTATTAAGCCCTTCACGGTCCTGTGGGGCTGAGGATGCATAGAAGCGGCTTGGACCAGGTTCCTCTGTAGGACGCACGCAGATCTATGCATCCCAGGTGCTGCCTCTGGTGCTGGTGGCATGTCCCCCGTTCCCCCTGCCCCCCATCCACCTCCTCTCTGCAGCGAAGGTCTGAGATGCCCACGGGGGCTCGGGACAGTTTCCACAGCAAGGGCTGTGCCACAGCTAAGGCCTTGGCACCTTTGTCTTTACAGAATTAAAGGAGCCGTCTGAAATACCCTCGACTTTCCTGGTGTCCAGACCCGACAGAGACATCCAGGCCTGGGTCCATAACCTGGTGCATGAATGTCCACTCCACTGGCCTCCTTTCCTCCTGAAACACCTCAGGCCAGTCTTTGGTTCTTCAAAGTCTCCTTCCTCCCTGATCTTCACTTGGCCGGGTCTGTCTTGTTCTTGAAAACTCAGCTCCTCCATGAAGCCTTCCTCTACCATCTCTCCTGAAGTAGAACTCCCCACACCAGACTGCTGCATATGGTCTGCTCTCCCCAGTAAAACGTTAGCCCAGCTGGTCGTCTTGTTCGCTGAAGCGTTCCGCACACACCACGATGTCTGAACACAGTTTGTGTTCAACACGTAGTTTTTGAATGAATGAATGAAAGTGTTTGGACAAGGCTGTATGGAAATGCAAGTACCTCAAAATGACTGCATTCCCTCAACATCTCTGAATAGCCCTCGAAGACTCTCCGCATGTATAATAATGTCAATGGTTACTATTTATTAAATACCTGCTGTATAACCGCTGTTTTATATATATTGCCCTCACTTTATCTTACCCCTGCATTAACCCCACAAGTAGATATTATTTCTAAGCAGACCAACTGTCCTGGTTTACCAGGAACTAAAGGAGTCTCCTAGAACACAGGACTTTCAGCGCTAAAACCAGAAAAGTTCCAAGCCATTGGTCACCCTAATTGTTTCCTTTCCCACATTTTACAGATGAAGATACATCTGTTCAGGGAGGTCAAGGATATATTCAAGGACATGCAACTGAAAATTGCAGAGTTCCAGAGTGTTTTCTTTTAATGAGGGGATAGATGGGTTAGAAAAACAATAAATGCATGTTGAAATTTGGATGCATACATAAAAATAAACAGAAACCAACTATATATGTATATGAACTGAGACTGTGAATTTCTGTTGTGCGTTAGAAATTTTACAGGAACTTTGACTCCATTATTTAATTTAATCTCACAAGAATCCTATGAGGTGGTACTATTACTATTCCAATTTACAGATGAAGAAACTAAGGCTTTGTGAGCTATTACTGATGTGCTCCTGTTACCCAGATAACAAGTGTTGAAGGTGGGACCCGAATACAGATTATATCTGATCCCAAATGTATTCTCTCCATAGAGAGTTCGTGCAGTGGAGTGCACACAGCCAGCCTGGGGTTCTCTGGGTCTGAAGTCTTGCTGATTCACCCTCCCGCGTGGGGCACCCTGCTTTTGCACCTCCACGTGACCACCTGTCTGCCCACAGGGCATCTAGGAAAGGGGGCACTCTCTGTCATTCTTACACGGCATTGCTCTCTATCAGGAGAGTGGGCGGGAGGTTTCATCAACATATTTTTGGACCATCCAGCATTTGCATGACTATATCTCATCTTCCTCCCTCTTCCGTCACGGGCACTTCCTACCCATCCTCCACCTGTTCATCGCCCTCCCACTGTGCACTGGAACAGGGAGCCGCGGCTTCCGGGGAGCTTTCATTTGAGGCAGGGCTGTAGCTGCTGCTTCCTGTAACCAGGGGTCCCAGCTGTCCCCACATCACGACAGAGGAATGATCAATCAAACCCATTGCTGAGTCCGCTGAGAAGTGTTTCTTTGGCTTTTTTTGACTGAAAAGACTAGTCAGTCTGTCTTTTCTTCTTTCCCTTTTCCCTTCTTCCTTCTTTCCAATACAAATATTTGTATAATAGGACACCAGTATTGTGGGATCTGTGGGATCTCTTAAGAGAAAGAATTCTAAGCGTTGCATCAGAAGGCCAGGTATGTGAAGCCCAGACCCGACTATTACTAGCTGTATAAACTCATGTAAATCCTTTAACTCTGATTATTTTAGTTATATCAATACCTATCTTGCCTTTTTAAAACACATGTTCTGTGGATCAGATGAAACTGTGAGAAATCACGTTTTAAACATAAAGTACTATTCAAATGCGATTTATTAATGTTACTAAAAATGTGTACTTCTAGAGGCCAGGATGAGGCTAAATTTGGACGTCAGGTGCAGTGCGGGGCCGGGAGGATGCTCTGGTTTAGAGGCTGAGATGGACTTGCCTGCCGCCGCAGGTGGGTGCTGACCACTTCTTCAGATGCGCTAGTGGTTCTGAGATAAACAGCATCTTGGTGACTGCGTGGAGGCAGTGGGGGATGGAGGTCTGCTATAGGACCCTCCCCCCTCGCCAGCACTGGGCTTGCTGCCTCCGCTTTCCAGAAGGGAAAGGTTAGAGTCTAGAGATTCAGAAGCCCAAATGAGAGCCTGACCATGCAGAGAGCTCCTTGATGACACAGCCTCGGGCGGCTTGTTAGTTCTTTTACCAGAATCATTTTGTCATTTCTTCCATCTCAGTCCTTCTTTCTCTCCATACTAAAACCATTCATGCTTACGGGGGAAAATCAGGAAGTCCGGGGAGAGAAGCTAGTGGTTTATCTGGGACTAGTCATAAACCACTGGTTCTGAAGTTCGGAATTTGTTCCTTTCAGGATCAGCTGAAATGTGGACATTTTTATGAGCTCTGTTCCCTGATCCAGTTTCGTCATTCCTGATAGAGACGTTGGAGAGGAAAGTAAACACCACGCAGGCCCCACTCCACACTTCACTGCTTTTGGGCATATTCGAGTAAATTGAATTTCACAGCAACCTACTTGTCACCATCAGAGCTCCGTTATATTTGGCGACATCCAAGAAATTGCCGGGAATGCTCTCTTCATCAATTGTTTAATGGGGGGATGTAAGGTAATTATTGCTAATCACGATATCCAGACAGGGAGAGCGACTGTACAGCTCTAGCGTGATGGCCGCTGCTTTGGGTTGAAGGTACGTGACGGGCTTCACCCTCCACACCCCCGATCGGGGCCAGCTCTTTAGGGACCAGTTCAGGAAGGGAGCAGAGGCGGGACGGGGAGGGAATGACCATGGACACCTTGTACGCCGAGCGACAGATATATAGATAGATAGATATATAGACAGATATATAGACAGATATATAGATAGATATATAGATAGATATATAGATAGATATATAGATAGACAGACAGATAGACAGATAGATAGACAGATAGATTCTTTTTCGGGCTCTTTTCCATTACAGTTTATTACAAGATATTGAATACAGTTCCCTGTGCTACACAGTAGCCCTTGTTGTTTATCTATTTTATAACAGTGTGTATCTCTTCTTTAGCCTCCTTAAACCTGCGTGACTCAGCAATGCACTTACCTTCATACATACATACAAGCATACACACACACACGCACACACACACATATATATACATACGTACATAAATATATTCTATGTTAGCCAGATATAAGCAGTGAAATTAAGGATCTTTTTCAGGTCTCTGCTCAAATGTCCCCTTGTCGAAGGCCTTTCCTGACCAAACCTCTTGTCCTTCTGTCAATGTATCCTGCTCTATTTTCTCATCCTTATCACCACGTACTATTAACATTATTATTTTGGTTACTCATCTCATGACAATGTGAGCTCATGAGAGCAGGGACTTGTCTGTTGTGGTTTATTGCTATATAAACACTCAATAGACATTTTAGAACTAATGTAATGCAGCTCGCATAAAAGCTAGCTTAATAATAAATGGCATGTTGCCTTAAATTCTAAAAGTTTAACGTTCAATCCGTGAAAGCACAAAACAGCACTTAGCCCGGTCTGCAAAACGTCTAGACGTTTAGACAAAGTGAATTTTGCAATTCAGTCACACACTAAGTTGTCCTTGTTATCTAGGATTAATCAGAGTAAAGCAACAAGAAAACCACAGAAGGACTAATGGCCTAGCGACCAGATATTTGGCACTGTTGAAGCAGCACCGACGTGGAACTCTTCCTTGTAGGCATATGGCCATCCCAAACCCTCATCCATCATTGTGTGTTTGTGTCTTCTCTCTCTTACAAAACAGCCAGCTGAACAATGCCACCAACACCGAGCACACTCCTCCATCGCCAAACGTGACCAGGAAAGTCGTCCAGAACAGCTTACCACCACTTCACCCAGAAACAACTGGGATTAATTTCCCAGGGACTGGAGACATCCTCCAGTGTGATTTCTGAAATCTCAGAGCATGTGCCTGTCTTGCACTGGGAACACCGATATTCTCTGCGGAGCCATGAGCAACTTGTTATCAGGCCACCAAGAATGGGGAACACTTGACACCAAGTCACCAGCGTCATAACGTCCTGCCAAGGCCAACGATTCTCCCACTTCCTCTCACGACACGATACACCAAACTGCTTCTCTCACCTTTGGGGGAGATGTGTCTCCAAGTAACCGTCGGCTCTGGTCGACCCGTTGCTATGCAGGTGAGGCTGACATTGTTGCCTTCGTTGATGGAGATATCAGAAGAAATCTCTACAATTTTGGGAGATACTGTGGAGACAACACAGGTAGAAGGAAAATTAAAATCCTGCTGAAACATTTCTTTGTTGTCTTCAAGTGGTAGTTGGCAGAATAACCCAGGGATGGCAATATTGGGGCTATAGAGTCGAGGACGAGGAATCAGAGGAGTCACCTTACATGTGAAAGAAACGTCTCACCTCGACTTCAGCTTCTATTTCCTCCTATGTACACGCAATGTCAGAGGGTCTGAAAGGGATGGTTCCACTGCAGCCCCACAGGACCTGTTCTAGCCCCCCACCCTCTTCCGGTCTCCACCCTCACCCACACGCTCCGCCCACTCCGGCTCCACACCGCGTCACGGCCGTCTTTATATGATGCACTTCTGATCATATTGCGTCTCTGCCTAAACACCTCCAACAATTCCTACTGCCCACCTGAAAACACTGAAGCCCCTCATCCAAGCAAACCAGGCCCTTCGGAATCAAGCCCGAACCTCTGTTTCCACTGACATTCCTGGCGATTCCACCTCTACTTACCCTGTTGTCATCCCCAACTCATCATGTCCTTCCTGGTCAGCCTGCATTTGGGATCTATATTCTTCCTTCTGTCCTTCCTGGGAAACTCCCAGTCATCCTTTTAGACCCAAATCATATGCCACTTTGTCGCAGCTTTCCCTACCCCTACTCCCTCTGGCCTCCTGCACAACTCAAAGATCCTGCACCCAGATATGTTACACGCACCTGAGGGGGAGTCAATCAGACGTGACAGACTTGGCCTCTTTCTCTCTCTGTGTCTTAGATTAATCCCCCCAAAGGATGAAGAGGTTCATCCCAACTGTAGATCTGGGGACAGAATCCCCCAACTTTGTTTAGTCTTTCGTTTTGCAGCCAGGGTTTCCTTAGGAAGTTAACATTATGTTGTGCACTTTCTCATTTATGTTTTACAGGACAGCATCCCACGGGGATGAGCACAGCCAGCAGTGTACATCTGTCTCATTCTGGGGCTCAGAGGTGGAAGCTCATTGTTGCTGCACATCTAAGCCCAATTCTCCAGTGCCATCTTTACCACTAGCGAATGTGATGCCTGACCATGAAATGACTACTCATTTGTCTTGTCTGCCAAGGGGTTTATAAAGTAAGGGTGTCTTTTATTGGGCAGCCCCCCCCAACTCCCAATTCTTGGCCCTTATCCCACTGTGCTGTAGTTATTTGCGTAGCATCCCTCACCCCCTAGACCATGAGCTTTTTTGATGGCTTGAGCCAGGTCTTACTTACATTTATATCCATAGTATAAAATGCAACACATATTTATAGGATGGAATTATAATGGTTGTTCATGGGAGCCACCTCCCCACCTGGCTACATGTCTGCGACAACCTCAGAACTGGGCCGTTAACACAAGTCATTTCAGTTCTACTCACACTGGTTTTGGCACATTAGCTCTTTACAGGTTAAGGGGCCCCTCTGTCCGGTTCTATTAGGCATCTTCAGGTCAGGTTGCCTCCTTGAATCAGCATGCTTCTGAGCCACCCCCGTGTGCTATTCCAGGACCCATTATCCCCAGGACACAGTGCCATCTGGCCTGCAGGAGACCCCAGGCAAGCTGACCATCGCCCTTATTCCCTGGATGGGACCAAGGTCACGGGGCAACCCTCACAGGAAAATCAGACTGGTTGGAACTTTCCGTGCTGGTCTTTCCTCTCCTGGATCCATTCATCACTCACTCCTGATGGTGTTGGATTTTTTCCTCCAGAAAGGAGCGTGTCGTGCAGATAGCTGCTCTCAGCCTTTGCTCCTTTCCCTCCTTCTCCTGAAAATTGACTTCCCATCTGTTTCCACACTGCGCCCAACCAGGAACGCTCATTAGCAAGAATGAACTGGACTTTGGTTTCTGAGCCCCAAGCCCTTGCTACTGGTTTTGGTCCCTTCGCCTCTTTCTCCAACTGTCTAGACCTACTGGAAGCATTCAACCTCATTCAAGGTTGAGCTGCCACCCCTTCCACGAGGTCTTCCAGGCGACGTCCAAGGGGATGTGGCCTCTCCTGCTTGGAGACTCTGTAGCCTCCTCCACAGCATTAAAATAAACTGGCTTATGTTACCTTGTCTCATCTTTCTCCTTGGCTATAAATTATCATAGTATAAGATATTGGACAAGAGCCTTGCTCATCTTTTTATTTTCTGCTGTCTCCAAAACGGTCCCTTGCATAAAGCAAGCACCAATTAATCATTTTTAGTCTTAAATCCGCGTGGAGCTTCAGGTAGAGAGGCAACTGTGGTGTGACGTTCTGTGTGTGCGAGTGTGTGTATGCCCTTGCACACATACATACCTGCATTCTCATGGATATTTGGCAGGACAGACACAATGGACGGTTGATGTGGCCAGGGCTGGGAAGTGACCGCTGGCTCTAAGACGCGGGACTTCTAGGACATTATATTGTGATTCATGGCTCTATCATTTTAAAAGCTAGATTGAACCTTCCAGGAGAGAAAGATACTTGATGAGTTAATGACTGGACACTTGATTTGCTGACTGCCCGAAGGATCCAAATTTGTAAGCTCTCTAAGTTCTAGAATCATTTAAATTTGATGTATTTTATTCGCAGAGCTTTAACTGGGACTTGCACTTCTTGAACCCCACCTCACCCCCAAGCCATACATTTGCCTGGCCCTGATCCTGCCCACCCTTGGCACTCACACAGCCTTGCCTGTTTCCCAGAGGACAGGCTGCCTGCAGAATGGCTGTGCTGGCCTTGCAGACATCGCTTTGACTCTGCAGGTAAGTAATTTATTGATCTGTAAAGCACTCTGAGATGCTCTGCGAGGGATTATGTCACGAAAATGCCATGCAATAAAATAAAAAAAAAGATGGACTTTGTGAACACAGGGTGATTTAGGGTTTGTAGCTGGAAGTGTGCTCAAAGTACATTTTAAGTGGAAATCAGGCAGGGTAATGAATTACTCTTGCTTTGGAAGGGCTTCCTGGGAGTTCATTTTCCTGGCTTCTTACATGATAGCTAATCTGCTAATCATACACTAGAGAACAATGGACAGTCCCCAAGTAGAAGAGAAGGTAGTCTGGGCCAAGCTGTTGGCACAGTAAGTATATAAAATGAGACCATCACACCTCATGCTTGGAAGAATCATCTAGAATTGTCTCCCTCCACTAACAACTGGAACGTGTCCAACTCACGAAGTCGCAGTTGGTGAAATGCTTGGCCTTTCAATCCTGCCTCAGGGTGTAGCTTGAAGGTGGCAAATTGCCTCGAGATGACTTTGAAAGGTAGACCATTCGTGGCATAGAGCTGAGACGGTTTGACCAGAGGTGCAATCCCAATCACCAGAGCCACACTGGTACAGTGCCAAAGATGCTAGGCGGTTAGAAGTATCATCTTCCAGGTGGCAACTTCTAACATGTTGTCAGTGTTTAAAATGAAAGTGAATTGACAAGGATGCACTATGGTCTTAGCTAATCCATGTTCATCAGAAAATTCTGACCCACTGAGATAGGGCTACTTACATTTTTATATTGTTTCCATGGATACCTCCTGCATCTTATCTCATCTCATCATGCAGGTGGTTGGAAACACACTAGGATTGCTTTGTTTTCATTGATTCACTCACACATTCATTCATTCTTTCATTCATCAATACTCACTGAGCACTTCCTTATACCAGTGTTGTGCTTAGCCCTAAGGGGCAAGACATCTAAAAGACACAGTGTTTACCCTCAAGGAGTCCACGGTCTAGAGATGCAAAGACAGGAGCAGAAGCAAACCCCTTTAGTGCACTGTGACATAGAAGGACAGATAAGGTGTTGAGGAAATGCAGAGGAGAGACACATTAGCCAGCCTGGAGATGCATGTCATGGAAGGCTCCTTGGATATGAGACACCTAAGCTAATCCCCAGAAGACAAGCAAAAATGAATCAGTTCTGAGGAGGAAAGGCATTTTGGGCAAAGCAGGTGATGTTAGAAAAATACTATTAGTAAGACTTTCGGTGGCCAGGCATAATTATTAATGGAAGGATAGCTACTGGAGGAGACATGGCCAAAAGTCACTCAAGCCCTGAGTGGGCACCTACTATATACACACTGTGGCTTAGGTATGTCCATGACGTGCAGCAATGCACACATTTTCTTGGCCCTCCATGAACTTACAGTCTGTTTGGGGAAACAGTGCATATATACGTCCCACCGCGTCACAGGGTTGTGTGGGATTGGATGCTAAAAGGTTGGTACAGACATTGCACTCTGTGAGTTAGTAAGAGTGTGGGTGTCGGCACAGCTTCTCCTGGGCTACAGAGTCTAGTTCGGGTACCAACAAAAGAGAAACGGTCATGTCTGCAGAGCAAGTGAAGCTGCTTCAAGTGGGACAGAAGTGCATGGGCACGGCTGGGAAGGCAGAAATCCAGGATGCGTGTGAGGATACAAAGTCTACTCAGAAGCAGAGGTGATGGAGAGCAGTGGTCCAGATCCCGGCTCTACTACGTTCAAGTTGTGCGGCCTTGGCCCAGTCACCTCACCTCTCTGTGCCTCACGTCCTCAGGTCGTGAAGCCAATTGCACGTATCTCACCGGATCCCTCTGAGGATTTAGGGGTAAGTTTATGAAATGCACTTACAGAGGCTCTAAGCGATGCGAAGTATGCAATAAGTGAGTTTTCGTATATTGTGTGCTTGGCAGACACGTATGTCACGTCAACACAGAATGGAAGGTTGATAAATTCTAACCGACTCGAGGAAGAATGGGATACAAGGTCGATGAGGTAAACTAGAGCCGGATTACAGACCAGCCTGAATGGCCAGGTCCTTCCTGGGTTTTAACTCTATCCTATAGGCAATGGCAAGCATTTGAAATTGTTTAAAAAAGGAAATACTCTACATAAATATATAGTGAATATACAAATATATTAATACACTTTAAGCAAAATAAGCTTGTAACAAGGTGTCAGAGGGACTGGGTAGACAGACACTGGATTTCGGAGAGTGATGTTCAAAAACTGTGGGCTCTGTAAGGGCGGAAAGAAAACGGTG